CGGCCCGTACTCTGCGCAATGGGACGCAGGCCTTGGCTTGCAATATGGCCCTCACGCGGCCAGCAAGCACTCTCGGAGCTGGCCAGGAGACCTGAGGAGGCACATGATTCCCTAACCAGGACTCAGGCTAAACAGAATTGTTCGTTTTCGTTTTGTTTTAGTTGTCCCTCGTTCTGTCTTCGTTCTTCATTTGCTGCGATACGAAATCAACACGAAAACAGTCCGCAAAATCGCAAAAGCACTGTGTATCTCGAGCCCTGCCCCTAACCTAGAACCACGCCCCAGCCATGACCCCGATCCAGCCGCCCCGACATTGGTTCAGATGTTTCGTTCCGCTGCCCTCGTTCCGAGGCGGCCAACAAGGTGAGGGCACTGCGCTTCCCCCGCAGCAACAGCTCTGCGGACCAGCAAGGGCTCAGGAGTCGACAGGAGCTGAAGCAATCCATCCTGCAGCAATCAATCGGCGGCGAGCCCAGGAGGGCTTGGTCAAGGAAACGCAAACATGGATTATGGCGCGTGGATTAGTGACGGGTCCCGTTTCCGTGCATAATCGGCGCATTCCTTCGCGGCGTTGGCTCAATGTTAAGCCCCGAGTCGTGGATCTGGCGCCTACGCTCGGCGGCCAGCCCGGGAGGGAGTGGAAAGGGGCGGGCCTTCTCAGAAGACTCTAGAGGCCCCTGGCCTTCCGAGAGGTTTTCTAAGCCTTCCCTGACACAGAAAAAAACCTCTCAGAAGGCGCGAGGGCTTCTGAGAAGTCCCGCCGCCTTCTGAGAGGGCCTCCTCCTTCTCGTTTCCCCCCCTCGCTCGCCGCCGAGCAGCAATCGACTCACGAGTGCTGGCATCCCCTTCCTTCCCCAATCCGCCCTCCACTGCCTCTCACGCCCGCCGCCTCCCGCCCAGCCCCTCCACGAAACCCAGCGAGCCTCCTCGACTTCGGCGCGCGCGAACCTGGTCGCTGTCGCGGCCAAGGTCTTCCGGCGAACGGCCCTCGCGCTTGCCGAGCACGAAAACTGCCAGTGTCTTTTCGACGAGGAACCCTGACGGCATCGCGATTCAGCAGCCAGGCTGGGTACAGTCGACTGGATTGGACAGGACACCCGAGAGTACACAAGACTCTTCCGACGGCAACGTCGCCCCAGAACACCAAGACATGCGGGTTGCATAGGTCGGGATAGACAGGGCAGAAGGGTACCCTCGATTGGGCATGGTCGACCTACCAATCAGAGCCGACTGCAAGTTGCGCAACGTGCAAGCTGTCCAGCCTGACCCACACCACCGCCATCCTCTGCTCGGTCTGCACACCCTCTGGTCCGATCCTCCCCGCCTCCCTTCCCTTGCGGTCGGATCTAGGACAGAAGAGCAACCTTCAAGAACGTGAGGCCCGCCGCCAGGATGAGCAAGAACATCTGACAGGCACGAATAACACTGGGGTACAATCCCCGCACCGACCTCGATCATGTACCTCGGTCCGACCGTACCTCCCCCCTCCTCGAGGGAGGAAGAGGGGAGGAGGGAGGGGGGAGGATTGAATTGTTGGGTGAGCGGGAGCCTCTGGGCCATACGCCCAGACCTCGCTGGATGGTCCCGAACGAGTCAGGCACGCGGCATCACCCTATTGAGCCACCTGATCGGAAGCAGGCATCTAAGACAGTCATCATCCTCATCCTCGTCCTCCGCATCCCTCCTCGTCCCTTCTCCCTGCTCCCTCCACATCCCTCCACATCCCTCCGCATCCCTCCACATCCCTCCTCCTCCTCCTCCTCCTCCTTCTCCACCTCCACCTCCACATCCATCTCCACATCCACCTCTACCTCATCCTCCCTCCTCTCTGCTCCTCCAACCCCCACCTCCTCCATCTCCCTTCTCGCTTACCCCTGCTCCACCTCTTTGCTTTTTGCCTGCCCCCTCACCACCACCACCCTCCCCCGCTCAATCCTCCCTACTACCTCCTCCCTGGGGAAACCAAAATAGAAGTACCGATACCGCTACTCCCCGGACCTCTCCAGGGGTGGTTTCTGACAAGGATTTCGAGGCGAATCAGCGGTGGCGACGAGGGCCGTCCAGGAGGCCCAAAGAGGGGGGAAACGAGGAAAGTGTAGCGATATGGGTACCTTTCCTCCTCCGACTCCTTGGCCCCCCCTGCCTCCGGCCCCGTGAGAGCGCGAGTTCAGCCGGCCTGCAGCTCCGACTTGCTGGCCCAGGCGGTCACGTCCTTATGACCACGCTCCCCGAGGCAGCGCTGGGCGCACGGCGCCCTCCCTCCACGAGCGCAGCCGCTCGGCGGCCGACTGATCGGGCGGATTCCGGGCGAGCTTGCTAGTCTTTCTCGTCATCGTTTCGTTTAGTTTTCGTTTTCCATCGTTCTGTCTTCAATCCGCCTTCGCTGCAAAACGAAATCGAAACGAGAACGGCCCTCGAAATCGCCCAAATAGCCTTCAAGAGCCTCTGAGATCCGGTGGCCCTGAGGAATGCATCGGGCGCCGCGGCCTGCTCTGGGCGT